ACGTCACCCAGCGCCCCGCCTCCAGGATGTGTTTTTTTTTTACTGTTGGGAGGGGGAGGGGGGGGGTTCTTTGGGGAAATATCTGGGGTCTAAACAGCCTCCTGATATTTCCCTCTTTTTTTCTCCACGTTTCATTCAGGTTTCTGAGGGGAATTCATAAAGCTGGAGCAGATAGAATCTGGAGCTGTTGACCGTAGTAACCAATCAGCTTCCCTCTTTAATTTTAAAAGCTTAACTGAACAAACGGAAGAGAAAGGCTGATTGATTACTATCAGGGCCGGCCTTAGGCCTTTAGGCGCACTGTGCGAGAAAGCTTTACAGCGCCCCTCAGTGACCACACCCTTCAGCGGCCACACCCCCAGTAACCACACCCATTTCCCCCAATATCCGCACCATTTAAAGACTTCAACTTTGTTAAGCCGCAAAGAAACATATTAAAAAGTATGATAAAAATTAAATTTTTATTCAAAGGTATCAAACTTGTAGGCACAATATAAATATTCTTATCAAATAAAACAACAGAAGGCAAACAATAAATGTCAAACTAAAATAGAGTCTATAAAAATAAAGTGTCGGGTTGTCATGCCGATCCCTTTTTTCAAGGCCCATTTAGATCTTTCATTACGATAACATGGATAAATGCATGTTTTAACAACCAATCACCACGCATCACCAGTGCAATACTCTGCCATTCGCAGTAGTGGGCAACACACCTAGCTATAATGGAGTGCGCCGCAAGGCACATGTTGCTTGTTACAGTGCACTGCAACAAAAAAAGGGTCAGGTATGATTTTTCATGCATAACAAAATGTATGGTCTGCCTTAAAGTGGGACTTCCATTAAAAAGAAGGTCCGTTTTTGGGTCTGTGGCAGTGGGCTTTTGTTCCCTGGAAGTGAGTATTCCCATACAAGTCTAAGGGCTTGTTCACACCAACCACAGTGCATGCCAGCGCGGTTAGCCTCTGGAATGCACTGTATCGCATATTAAACTCCCCTCGCATTCTGGTGCAACCTTTTCCCCCCGCCCGCAGTGAGATCACCCGCACCAGAACGCGTGGCACAACAATGCCTGCGTTCTGGTCCAGTGCGTGGGGGGGGCGTGGCTGCAGTGCCATTGACTTCAATGCACCGCCACTCCCCCTCCCACACCAGAACGTGGGCGGAGTTTAGTATGCGATACATACTGCGATACGATACAGCTGGAACGCACTGTAATTGGTGTGAACAAGCCCTTAAGGTATGCAAAACCTGCTTGAAGCAAGTCAGGAGGAGGTCCACTTCAAGTCAAATGCACCTGGGAATGAATTCTGAATGATCTTTGAAGTGTCTCAAACTGATGCCATTGACACAAGCCTAAAGCCCATTGATCTAGGCCCTTGCTGACAGCCCCCCACCTCCCAAACACATATTGCTTAAAAAAAAGCTAGCCTTGGCCATGGCTTCTGATGCTTCTGGCATACATGGGTGGCATTGCTGGGCCTCACGGGAAAGCTGGGCTTTACATTTCTGCAAGAATGCGTTCCTGCAATGTGCTGTGGTTATTTTTGCCAGGCTTTTTTAAGCAGCATGTGTTTGGGAGGTGGGCGACTGTCAGTTAACGTATACCTTATATTTTCATGAAAGGGACTCTTCAACGCAGAGTGCTTTAATGTGTGCTTCCACTTTGATTAATGTGAAGGAGGCCTTTTATTTTTCCCTTTACTTCTATTTTTCCCTTTAAAAACACGCAGATGTGAACCAGGCACACAGGAAATAAGAGGAAAGGATATACAATTTCTACTAAAAGTGCATTTACATGTAATACAATTCATGTTTTACAGGAAAATGGACAAGTGTGAATAAACCTTATTTAGCCCATCCACTAAAACAATGCGTTATGTGGCTAATGCGTCATGGCAGCTCCAGCCATGTGCATCTTATCGCACGCTGCTTGAGTTGTCACTGTTTTTAATTATTTCTTTTTTATTTAACTTTATGTTGAGTGTACAATGTTTACACTCCATTCAGTTCCCCACACATCAGCACGATGTGCTGAGCTGCCGTGTGACTTGCGTTAAACCGTTGCCAAAAAACGCAGGTGTAAACTGGTCCTTAAGGTGACCTTACCATATAAAAGTTATTTAAATTAACATACATGAAAATGGAATATCTGTATTAGAACACCCCTTTGCATGTCTTCTTTTTTATCTATTCTTATCTACCAACATATGTTTCCTGTTTAAGACATGTCAGAAAGCTACGAAATGTTAATAAAACTGAAGCTTTCCATGAAGATCAGTCTAGTCAAGTCACCAACGCCTGAAAGTGTAACTAGAGTTGTTGGACTTTGTGATGTAAAATTTGTGATCTTATTCAGCTCATGTCATGTTTTCCTTCCCCTTCCCTCACTAAGTTCAGACCTGCTATCAGTATGGGCACTGCTGGTAAAGGAATTATATTCCTTTCCTCAGACATGTGATGAACCACATGGCCGGGCAGAGGAAGTTCAGGACCCCCTGAAGGGCGCCTGTAGTGATGGCGGGCCTGCTACTGCTCTGCATCCAGGGAGGCACTGATCTACTGATTCAGCACTCCCTCCACCCCCATATCCCAGTCCTGACTGCATGGATATGTGTCTGGAACCCATGACAGTCCATTTACACCTATTGGCACCCATTATCATGTACCTTGAAAAGAGTAACTTGATGTGTTGATGTGGGTTGTGGTTAGGGTTGCCACCTGTCCAGGATTCACCCGGACAGTCCGGGTTTTGAATGCTGTGTCCGGGTTTCATGGCAGCTGAAACCCGGACACAAGATGTCAGGCAGACAGGAGGCAACCAAAATTAAGATAGGGGCTACTGGCCCCCCACTAAAAATAGTCTAACTGTGATATTTACATATGAATGGGTGGCGCTATTTACATATGAATAAGCAACTTATTCTCCCCCCAAAATTTCTGTGAGTCGCAAGAGTGTTCGGGTTTCGCTGAAAGAAAAGGTGGCAACCCTAGTTGTGGTACCTATGCCCATGTCATTTCCTATGGGCCCTCGATTACTCAATTTTGCAATTGCATTGTGATGCATAAAGAGTCAGCTGTATTGTTTACTGTGTGGCTGTCCCTTGGGGTCCATTAAAAATGCATGGGAACACCTACAAACGCATATCGATATGCATTACAACATACAAATAGATGTGAACTGCCTTACAGACCTTATATTTGGCCATTGCTGTAGCCAAGTTTGATATGTTGGAAGCACTATCACAGTGATACCTTTTTTCCGGATATATTTGGCTTCCACTACAAGAAATGGCTACCCCGGCGTGTGTGTGGGTACCAGGGGAGGACTGTCCCAAGTCAGATGCACCAACAGTGACAGCTGCTGGGTGTTATATAGCTATCTGATGCCAGTTCAGACCTGCGAATACAGCACTTGGTAAAAGTATTTCAGTATTGATGCACAGGAAGTCGAGGTTGGAAGAATACAACACGGTGCGCATTTGTTAATGATTGTTCATGATGATGGCATAGTATTTGCACAGAACAGCAGTAATCTTTTTTTAGCTAATACAATACTTCCTCATTTAAGTTAATCTTTTCCAACCTAATCTGTTAGCATACTGTATATAGTATAGGGTGTGTTACAATAAACGCCGATATGAAAACTGCCCCCACCTCGAAAAGGCCAGTTGGTTGTGTTTGCCTCCCAGGTCAAATGTTCCCAGGCCTCCCCTGGTGGGTACCTGGTGGGTACCTGGGTAAACATGGCAGTTGTTTTAATTTCTTCTGGCAGCACTGTGTGGTGTTCAGACATGTCATGGTGGTAATGCACAAATTGGCAGAGTGGGAGGAATTGGGTATCCCCTATAATAAATGGGTCCCTTGCAGTGGAATAAAGGTTCCTTGGTGAGCTGGATAGATACTGCAGATAGCACCATGTAGTATTCTGGTATGTGCCTGTGGGCAGATATTTTGAGGGGTGGAAGATATATAGCGCCAACTGAAATTTGGCATCCTCTCAACATTTTTGGTAAGGTTGCAGCCAGTATACTGGCATACTGTGACATGCCTGGAAGTTGAAGTATACAGTAGTTTGATATGGTGGCAGACACTTTTTGATGAAAGAGTTAATAAACATAGGCAGAGTAGAGATGATAATAGTCAAAGGGTTAATACACATGGGCGCCAGTATGCTGAGGATGACACAGTTAATACAAACAGGCAATACAAAGCTGGGTTAATCATAACCAGCCACAGAAAATCACTAGTAGATTAAGTATTCCCAGCAACCGGGGAAGCACTAGCCATTATATTCAGCCACTAGGGAGTCGCTAGTCTGGAATGGGTTAATTATTTTTAGCCGCCAGAGATCTGCTATTCATGAGAGGGATAATCACATGCAGCCATCTGGGAATCACTAGTCTAGAAATGGAAGAGTCAGTCTCCAGCCATCAGTCCTGAAAGGGTTAATCCTATTCATCCTCATAGTAGCTGCTGGCAAGGAAAAGGTGCTAATAATGAAAGAGCTAATCCTGCACATTTTTCAGGGAGCCACTATGACAAAGGGTTAAATATACAAACAGGAGGGGAAGTTGTGTCACTTTTTATCAATAGCAGTTCAATGTGTGTAACAGTGTGTGACAAGGACAGCAGATGCGTGGGAAGCGGGCATGCTCCGGAAGGATAGAGGGCATACAGAGTTGCTGTGATGATACAGCTTCCGAGAAAACAAAACATCAGGGACTACTTTCTGTCATCCATTACCCCCTCCCCTCTCCAGTATTACCATGCTGCCAGCGACCACGTGAGCTCATCTGAACCAGAGAACAAAATAAAATCTGCCTTGGTGAACATCACTAAATGATTAAGCTGCAATTCCCAGTCCAATAACAGACATTCCTAACCAGTAACACAGCACCACACATACTACACATGTAAAGAATGTCAGGCAGAAGAATAAAGCACTAGACAAGCAGGCGGAGGGATACGACCTCCAGCACTACGGCACTATATATGTGAAAAGCCATTCTCCCACCACGTCAGTTTGCAGGTGGAATGAAAGAAGTAACGTAGAGAGTGTCGGCAGCTTTACAGTATCGAAGAGTTTACTTATTGATTTGGTAGTTCTCGTTCCAAGTGACAGGTTACAGCAGTCCAAGAGCGAGGATCGAAACGGCCACCATGGCTTTATAGCGGCAGCAGCGGCCAGCGGCAACCCCTCCCCAGGCCAGTGCGAGGCCGCAGCATCCAGCATCGCTGGCAACACCAGGCATCGGCATAAACATGGCGTGAGTATAACAGGACATTGGGTCTGTTTATTGGGGGGTCACGTTTCCTATCGGGCTTATGGATAGGGGATTATAGCATCATATCAGACTATAGGGCTACTGGGTACGCAATATGATGAAAATAATTAGCGGGAGGATTCACACCTCAGAATGGTGTTGTTTGGCGTCACCTTAGCCTGAATTAAAAAAAAGCGAATATACTAGAATGACCATATTTGTTTTTTTTTTAAATGAGTTATTTTCAGCAGACTCCAATGAGAATTGAAAATTACAGTCACATGGCTAAAATAAAGATCCTTATGCTTGTGTTAAAGCTTTGCTAATGGTGTAGAAAATACACCGACCCCTGATACAAACTCCCCTTTGTGTAGCAATAAGGAAGACAAGGCTTTACTGCTCTTTGTGTGGATCCCAGCAGGGTGGGGGTTGTCCGCGTCTCGCCCTTACAATAATTGGGGACATTCTCAAGGGAAATTCTACCTATTAGCTGTAACAGCTGTTGGCTTTCTATTCCTCCTGAGTGTCTTATATTACAGTACAGCAGATGTCTCCTCCTCGTGTGTAAGGGTTATATTTAGATATTGGCTGCCCTTCCATCCTCGTCTCCTCAATTCATTGTCAAATTCTTTAGTTCCAACCGTTAAGTCAGAACACTAATACATTTGGCAATTAGGAGTAATCTTTGAGATGGAATGCTACCGGTCTGTGTTAAAATGTAGGTTAAGATGGCGTTGATGGCCTGTGGGTGGGGAAGAAACCAGCCGATCAGACTGTGAAATGGCGGCCGGGCAGGTTTTGACTAACGTGCTGTGGGAGTGACGGAGGGGAAGTTGCCATATATGGTCATGAGGAAGCTGCATTCCAGTTGTATAGGCATTTGCCTGCTGGGAGAAAAAAGCCATTAACCAAGCTGGGCTGAACTTGCGTAACAATCAAATATAGCAGATGAGATAAAAATAGCAACATGGGCAGAGAAGTATGGTGAGATGGGGGTCAGACACCGTATTATCATTCCCAGCCAATCTAAATGATATCCTTAATTATCAGCTTAGACCAGATTAAACATTTTTGGTAAAAAAAGAGGTATAAACCAGATGTCACCTATTTTGATGGGTATGTAATTAGGCATAATAAGCATTGATACCTAACCCGGCACACAAGCGATAACATTTGAGGAAGATATAACTGATGGTTATAAAAGCATGACACAAAGAGGAAGACTCTAAACACAAAGAAGCAGATGGGAGGGTGGGGAGTACTCTCGCTAGTTCTGGTTACAAATGTACGTCCCACCCTATTGCACTTCCTTGTACTATGCGTCATCTCACCTCCTCCCCACAGCTAAAACCAATCTTTAGCTACAAAAAGCCCGCCATCATTATCTCATCACTCATCCTCCCCCGTCCCTGCAGTCACAGTCCTTTTATTAACCATTCCAATGCCTGATTATGAGTCCAGCGCATTTCTCAAAGGCTTAGCTAGAACAGAATGGGGAAGGTTTATCCACTTTTTCTAGAACCAGGCTGTGTAAATCAGTGGACAATGAAACTGAGATAAATGTATTATAAGATCACAGCTTTTGCATCAGTTACACCCTCTGCTGCTAAAAAATAGCCTGCACAATATAAAACATTTTTCCTACCAGTCATCTAGTGTACATGTTTAAATGAATAACAATATAAGGTACAAGGTGACTTTCTAAAATGTTTACAAATCTGTCACAGTCAGGTGTTTCAGGTGTTAGGGTTACAAATGCACACAATTCCAATAAAACATTTTCCTTTGTTAATAGAGACATTCTGATTGCGTTAGACCACTAATTCTGTTGCATTTTACATTATTTTATATTTTTTTCTTTCAGGCTCCTCAAGGCATCCCGCAGCAGCATTGCTGTATACGAGAAAGAAAGTTCAGAAACCAGCTTCTACGTGAAAGCCCTCATACTTGTAAACGATGAACCTGTTAAGCGACGATTTGATGTTGGGGGACTTTTTGTCCCCCCTCAACCAGTCGTTTTTGGCAGCTGAGGAAAGTTTGGGTCTCTTGGATGATTGCATCGAGGTGTCCGGGTACCTCCCATCGCATGGGTTTTCCAGCAAAAAGGCTAAGAATGGCGTCTCTGAACTGCTGCCTTTGGCTGAACCCTTTGGCAGTTTCCAGGGTAAGAGCACTACTACCAACAATCCTTAGCCATGTATAAATCCTTACACTGTACTTATTTGTTGCATTTAGGTTAGGTTCAATCACAACACTGGTTTCAGATTGTGATCTACTTTAAAATAGCATCAATTTAACTTGTAATGATAAATTATGGAAGCTACCAAACATTTACTAAAAAAGGTTTTACAATTTGTGGCTACCTTTTGATAGTGACCTCTTTAAATCAGAAGCTTTGATTCTTACTTCTAAATGGCTCATTTCTTAACAGGGGACACCTTCTCCGGCATGGATTGGATGGTGGAAAAGATGGACCTGAAGGAGTTTGATTTTGATTCCCTGCTTGGGATGGAAGATCTAGAAGCCACCGTCTCGCCAGATGAGCTGATGGCCACGTTGGATGACTCTTGTGATCTCCTAGAGGACCCACCTCTCCCATTGGTGTTTGGCCAGTATGTGCCATCACCTGCCCCAGTCTCTCTTCCAGGAAGTCCACTGGAGGCCGATCAAGTGGCTCCGGTGAGTCCCAGTTTAGCAGAGTCCAATATCTCTAGCCCTAACCATTCCTTTATCTTGGATGTAGGAAGTGAGGTAGATGTTGCTGAGGAAGATAACAAATCAGTAATCTACACTCTTGAAGTTCCAAAATTTGAGAAGGAAGATTCCTCAGATAATGACAGTGGTATTTGTATGAGCCCACTCCTGAAGTCTGAAAAGGAGGATTCCTCAGATAATGACAGTGAGATTTGTATGAGCCCATCATATCTGGGGTCTACCCAGCAAAGTCCCGCATTTACTGTAGAGTATCCTAGTAGTGCCCAGTCCTCTCCCGCATCCCCTAATTCTGAGAGACCCAAACCTTATGATCTTTCCTCTAAGGATAAAGAAGTGTTGGCAAAGGTAAAATCTGTAGGGCAGCCAAGAGTAGACAAGAAGAAGAAGAAAATGGAGCAGAACAAAACAGCAGCCACTCGCTACCGCCAGAAGAAGAAAGCTGAACAAGACATAATATCTGTAGAGTGCCGTGCACTGGAACAGAAAAATGATTCCCTCAAAGAGAAAGCAGATTCCATAGCAAAAGAGATCCAGTATTTAAAAGACCTAATAGAAGAAGTCCGCAAGGCCAAAAGCAAACGAGCAAAAAGTTCTTGAGCCAGGAGAAAGTTGGAGTGTTGTGTATGTTTACATATAGGAAAACGTGGTTGTAAAACAAGTAATAAGTAATGTCTACTCAATAAATTATTTTGTAGTTAAATGTTTAATTTGTGTTGGCAGAGTTTACTTTCATGCAGTTACCAGAGTCACCGCTTGTCACGTTTGCCAGAGTGAAATAACTGGTATGTATTTGGTAATGGTTTGGGTGGTCACTCTAAAAATTGGTCTCAAGATCTGGAGAAAGAATACCTTGGCAAATATTTTCATCTCCTTCTGACAATGCTAGATGCCTAGCTGTGTCTGACTTCAATATGTTTGAGTCACAGGGGTTGATTTACTAACCTTATAAACACACCATGAACGTGTATACACCTCTGTAGTGTGTTCCCTCCCAGCATGATCTATGGGAGGAATCGAAACACCTTTGTAGTGTGTACACACCCAGCAGGTGTGTTGTGCAAAGCCCTGCAATGAATTGCAAGGTAATGTGGTGTAAATTAGCTCTGTTGTGTTGCTTGGGTTGATGAATGCAGGAATGTAAATGCATTAGCTAACTATTTTTGTCTAAACTGTGAAGCAGCATTATATATGCATCATGTGCATGATTTTTCCATATATGGCATTAGTGGAAATATGCTTTTAGAGACTTTTTGGTTGATAAATACGTTTTGCTGTGTGAAAATCACACACACCTGGTGCGTGCGTGTGTTTAGGTTAGTAAATCACCCCCACAGTCCCTGAACAAGCATGCTGTATATAAGTGTCAGAACTCTTTGACTTTATTGCTGTCTAAGTCGCTGCCCCAGGACAAGTATAGAGATAAAGTATCAGAATGACAGATGGGGAACTAGCACCTGTAAAAGAGTTCACTAATGGCAGCCCCATACATTTCTCATAATGGTGTTACTTTAAAGTATTTCTCTCGGCATGTCTCAAAACCTCCCTCTGTACCTCTAGAGCATGTGCCAGCATATTTTATTGCTCTCCTGTGGGGAGAATCTGACTTGTGTTACTTCCCGTAACATCACAAGGCTTGCAAAATTGTTGCAGGGGCAGCTGTTGGGGGTTCAGTTCCTATTGAAATAGGCCTGCCATCCAGAACTACATTTGCCAAAAGCCCCTTCCCTACACAGCGTGTAGGCAGGTACTTGAGAGCCAAGGCAGCAGCATTATTTTGTTGGGAAATAAATCAATGTATTAAGTGGGCTGCGAATAGGTGAGTTCTGTCAGCCATCAACAGAGTTAGGAGTAGAGATTTTAACATTGCCTAAAGTGAAACAATAACAATGGAAAGTTCCTTTAAATAATGTGCCTGGGGCAGGTTCCCTTAAACTGCCTGTAAAGTGGCACATCTGTATGATGTGTAGAACCTGCTGCAGCAAAATGACATTTATAAAGAAAAAAATGACATTTATAAAAATTTAAAAAGCATGCGGTTCTACCGTCCCGGTGTCGTTTGGGACAAGGGCCTCTTCCCCACAAGCCCTGGGGCGTTGGTTGTGGGGATGTGGTCAGATGGGGCTTATTCACATCATGGTACCCCTTTAATAAAGAGGCACCCAGATGCACCCCCCTTGTGAATGAGTAAGGGGTACCTCCTGAACCCATGCTAATTGCATGTGCTGCCTTCCCAGTAGATAGTATCAAACAGCATTCTGTAGTTTATATCCTTTTGTCCTACAGGGGTTTGTTATGCACACCTAACAGTAGAACAGCAGAATGAGGTCAGGCAGTTGGCAGTACAGTTTCAGACAGGTGACCTCCCAACTGACTCATCCTCAGTCAAAGAAGGTAAAGTTGAAAAAGGTAGAGCCTCCACATTTTTCATAAGCATGCATATTTATAATTACATTTTCATATTCTTGCTAAGTTGTAGCTGGTTATTTTAAAGTGAATTTAGTCACTATAGAATAGAAGAGGTTGAATTCAGATCAACTTTTTGTCACTCAACTAGAAATTGGTGGCTAGAAATCTTTTATATGTAGTATTGTACATTGGTAAGAAGTTTAATCTATGATGTGAAAAACGAAACTTGTCATCGGAGGAATATGGGGACTATTATTGCTGATTTCTAAAAATATACTATTGACTTGGCTAACCTGGCTTTGCTGTTCACTGACACAGTACAACACATCTGTAATTCTGACTTCCTTACAATGGAGTCGGCCATGGCAGTCCCCATATTTCTCCATTTTCAGATTTTTTTTTAAAGTAGGCCTGTCAGTTTCTCTAATAAAGGCAAAGTAACAGGTTCTCTTTTTTAGCCCAACTCCTTTCCTATTCATATTTACTTTCCCATGGCCAACCCCACCACCATCATCTCATTCACCCACTGGGCCATCAGTAGAAAGCCCTGTGCAATATCTGTGTCAGAGCTTACACAGAGCCACACACATGACCGTACCGGGGGATTAACCGCTCAGGAACCATACAGTGCATAATGGCAGGAAGGGGAGTAAGTCACATTCTTCTCACCACCTGGGAAATATGGGGTATTTCCATGGTAAATTATTGGCAGAGGAGGAGGGTTATAAATAGAACCTGTTACTTTTCCCTGACTTGGCAAAGTGACAAGTTTTCTTTCAAGTGACACATGGTAACAACAACTTATGGATGTGCTCCCAGTGCCAACAAGGTGTCATCTATCTATGTTGCACTCATGCAGAACTCTGCTTGATGTGGCCAGTTCCTCCACTTTCCATTTCTCTATTTTGATGCTTGCCCCACAGTAAGTACACTATGCCAGAATATCAATATAACATCTAGGAAGTGAATATTTTCAGAATGACAGTCAATCACTCTCTGCCTTATACAGAGCCCTGCTCTTGTCACAGGCAGACCCAGGAAAAACAAAGACGTAGAGGATTGGTTGGAAACCATTCTAGAGTTTTTATATTCACTTTTTCAGTTTACCAGCAACATGTTGGGAGGGAGTACAGCAAACCTAAAGTCTTTTTTTTTTTTTACCTGTGTCACTAGCCCAAGACAGGGAGTTGAACCCACTGGCAGGAACCAGGCCTGAAGGAGATCCACAACAAGGTACAGGGAAGGTGAATCCAAATACGTAGGTGTAGGGTCCGGGTCTAGGCAGGCAGCTTAGGATCAAAACGAGAAGACAGGCCACGGATTTGGTAACCAGAGATCCAGATGAGGGTTCAGGGAGCTGAAGGGGAATCAGGAGCAAGAGGCTTAGTAATTGCACCATATAAGCAGAATAACTCAGCAACAAGCCAGGGCTCTGGCTGGGATTTCAACCCACCCAGTGGGGATCAGCACCGCCTCTAGTTGCCGACACAACCAGGAAGCTTCCTTCCCTAGGAACCAATGGAAGGGGTGGAAAGGGAAGGTGTGTGCTGAGAACCTCTCCCAGTATGACCCACACCTGAAGACAATGATGGCACTACGCGTGCGTCCCCGTGCACAGCTTGTCTGCCACGCGCACACCGCGCATGCGCACCCGCAACCCTGCTGACAGGAGTTCTGTCAACCTGAAGGAGACCCCGTGCTCTGCACCGTACCCGGCGGTCCGAGGTGAGGTGGTACCTCTGGTTCCCTGACAAGTTGGGATGCAGGAGGAAGAAGGCTGGGTCCCGAGGGACCGGACGGTCCATAAACCTCTGAGTCAGCGAGTGAACCTGATCCCAGAAACTGAAGGGCTGGGGATAACCAAAATATGTGCAGCGCAGGTAATATTCAAATTATCGCAGGACTAGTTTTTGCAGCATTATGGAAGGATCTGAATCTGCAAGGTGCTGAAGCAAGTTGATCTACTCAGTGATTGTCAGTTTTTTTTGATAATGGTTTATTGAACACCCTTGTAGGTGATGACAATAAAATATGTTTCCATGTAATTAAATTAAGTCTGACCAAATGTTCAAGGACTGTTCAATAATAATGCAGCTGAACTATTTCATATTCAGACCCATGGATTTATGCCTATTTAAGTGGGTAAGACAGACAAAAGAATAACCTTTTGAGACCAAGAACTAAAATTTGGGCCAGTATTTATGAATCTAAACTGATGCAGTTTATTGAAGCAGAACTGATGCAGTTTATTGAAGCATCCCTTCCAACATCCCTGTTGGAAGGGATGAATTTGGGAGAACTTTGGCTTACTGGTGAGAGCCTCCAGACAGGACCAGAGTACCAAATCATGAGGTATGCTCAGGTTTAGGCCAGAGGTCAGGGAAGGTGTCAGACATGTGCAGGCATAGAAGCAGGTAGGTAGGAAAAAGCAACAGTCAGAGAATGATTCCAGGTCAAGTGCAAATTGTGAGCAATCCAAAGGGAACAGAAGACAAGCCAAGTCCAAGTTGAGGTGGTCAGGTGGAACCCTTTGAAAGATGCAGCCGGGTGCAGCCCAGTGGTGTATATTTTATGATTTAATTGTATTCAAACAGTAGTAGCGCTCTTAACACACACACCGTCTGTTTCTGCTACCACAGGGTCCCTTTCCCTGTTTCTAAGAGCTCGCACACTGTTGCCATTGCCCTGTTTCACTCTCCCCAGCCAAATTTGTACCCCTTGGTAGTGCGCTTGTTCCTTTTTGTCCGTGCTTTTTTAGTGACAGGATCGAGAGGTGAGCGAATGCTGGTATGTGTTCGCTCACCTCCCGATCTACTGAGCCGACCTGTGACAGTCTCATTGTCACAGGTCGGCTAGAACTATGAGGTGAGTGAAAAGCACTCACCTCATAGTGCTCCTTTAATGTCAATCTTGCTGCGGAATGAGATTGGACACATTAGGCGCGACTCACAATGCTTTAACACCGACCTTCAGCCATATGACAGTAATTTTCGAATTTCATTGGACTTAAACTGTCACTTTTTTGAAAATAGGGATATTTGTACTTGTGTGTTAGCTTTGTGAAATGAGCAGATTGTTCTGTAATTATTACCAGTGACATTAGACAAGGGAAACATATCATCTCTTGACATGATGACATGATGTGGGCTTGGCAGTTTTGGCTGATTCATCTCTATTGACATTGACAATTGT